ACCTCTTTCCATGAGGTTTAAGGGTGGTTTTGGAATAGCGGGTTATTTCAAAATTTAGTTTTGTGTAGTTAGCGCCCAATTATGATATAAGCTAAGATACGCAATTTGCATAGCTCAAATTGAGAATCTTATTTCGAGCTATGGTGCAGTATAGGCACACCCTTCCTTAGAAAACAGAGGCACATATTTAAATCAGAGAATGATCTCCGTTGCCCACCTCAAACTCACAGATATCTTTGACAAAATCATTAGACGTGAGGTAAATGGTATTAACACAGATACAAACATATTCCTGTCTCCTTTTGGATAGACTGAAGACAGGTTTTTTTTAAACTCTTTCATGAGTGCAACAGATCTATAATTAAGGACCTCCATTTTAAGAAGGACCTAGTAACTCTTGGTGCCTCAAATTCTGGGGCCTTTCCTTAGCCCTTTAAAAGGGGCCTTATCTTCAGAAACTACTGATTGCCTTCCATCTGGAAACAGAAAAGGATCTGGTAAACTGAAACTAATTCATTACATAATTTTAAGAAAGTATAAGCACACACCACATTCTAATGACAAAATATCCTAAATCTGTTTAAAATTAATGTGTGTATATTTCAAAGATAGAGCTCTCTGATTTATTCTTACTGTTCAATTTGTGTCCAAAATCCAGATAGTAAGCTTCAAGAAAATAACCCATGCTGAACTCTCCCCCCCCCCCAAAAAAAAAAACCCACCAACTTTAACCTTTTTAGCACTGTCTGAGCTGGAACATAAAGCAGCAATAAAATGCAACAAATTATAACAGTATAAACAATTACTAACTTTTTACTACCTGGTGAGTCTCTGGGTTTTTTTATGGTACTGAAAGTGTTTGGGTCTTGTGTTTGATATTAGTAATATATGTAGCTTTCATAAGCTTTTATCAAAATCACCTTCAGAATTACTACTCAGCTTGTCTAAATAGAAGTTTGTACATAGGGATACCACAGAATGGAAATAATTTGAAGGATATTTGTTTTCCTATATTTTTCTTTTAACATAGTGATAAAAGTGAGAATAAACCATTTAGAATTTGTAACACATTTTTTTCGAACATGTTTGTAAAGAATAAAACTATTATTTCAGTCTTTAATATTTGCATTTTAATTGCACCGAGAGCCCTCAGTCAGGTAGTGGGGCCTGATTGTATCATTTGTAATGGGTAACATTTTCAAAAGCAACTAAGAAATTTAAAGTCAATGAGACAGATTCCTACGAACGACAGTAGTTCTTCAGCTCCTAAGTAATTTAGAACAAAATACAGGACTATGTAGCACTTTAAAGACTAACAAGATGGTTTATTAGACTATGAGCTTTCATGGGCCAGACCCACTTCCTCAGATCAAATAGTGGAAGAAAATAGTCACAACCATATATACCAAAGGATACAATTAAAAAAATGAACACATATGAAAAGGACAAATCACATTGGGGGGGGGGGGGGGAGAAGGTAAATGTCTGTGAGCTAATGGTATTAGAGGTGATAATTGGGGAAGCTATCTTTGTAATGGGTAAGACAGCTAGAGTAGTAATTTAGATACTTTTGAAAATGGGAATTAGGAGTCTATGGGAATGAGTAAAATTTGGAAAGCATCCATCCATCCATCCATCCATCCATCCATCCATCCATCCATCCATCCATCCAATAAAGCATTTTTGACACCAAAAGCTTCCTACTATTATACTTCCTGCTAGTTAATTTCTCTTCTACATGTTGGAAGAGTAGTTGCTAAGTCACTATTCCATTCCTGTATGTCTATCTTTCTCAGCACGGAAAACACATGTATCTGGTTTCCTTCCACTGGTCACCTATTGCAATGGAGCTTTGACAATATAAAATATGTTGTCTCAGGTGGGCAGTGGAGGGTGGGAGGGCAATGAGAGCAGTTGCCCCAGGGCTTGGTGATTCAAATTGGCCCAGGGCTCCTTCTGTGATGGCAGTGGTGGTGACCAGAGGCCTGGGCCCTTTGAATCTCCACTGGAGCAAGGCTCTGCACACTCCAAGCAGATCTGAGGGCTGAGGACATGGGACTGCATTGTGGTCTGGGTAATGCTGAGAGCTGGCTGTCCCTGGCCCTGCCTCTTCTGCCAGAGGTCCTGCACCTTCCAGGAGCATGGAGCCAAACCCTCCCCCACACACTCTTCTGGGGGCCCACAGAAGCTGTTGAACCCCCTGTGTTTTCCACAGCCTTTGCCAGAAATTCAACTGCAGATCTGAACAGCAGATCAAAAACCCAACCAGCCTCCATTGTAATAGCTATTGATATCGTTACAAGTAACTTCATCTCACACATTATATATGAGGCAGTGCTAATAGTGTTTACTCACACACTCTTCTATAGACTGTGTATACATATTTAAGAAATTCTCTTACATAGATGCTAGAGTTGGGTGCTAAGTCTCCAATCACCACAATTGCTGTGATTGGTACTGTCTGAAAATGGTTTATACCTAGGAATTTACACAGAATGCAGAAACTCATACCGTTTCATATTACCTCTGGAATGGCATTGACTGATTTGGAAGATCTTCAGTGATACACAGCACTACTGCTATGAGAGATAGCTCTGCTATTGGGTATGCTTTACTAAATGTTACTTTGGAAATATATAGTTGTTAACCAACTGTATTGTACTAACTCTTTATATGCTTTCTGTTTGCTAAACTAGAACAGAAAGGTAGTCATGTTAGTCTAAAGTGCTATAGGATTACTTGTTTTTAACTAGTACAGTAGAGTATCTACTATAAATTTGAGAGTGTGAGTCTGTTCAAGAATTGCTCTTAAGCAGTAAGAGCTAGGACCACTAAATTTGATATGCAGTTCCCCTGATCATAACTTGAAGCAAGGTAAGAGTTGGTTGTTCTAGGACAATGGGATGTGCCTGGAATGTGATTGTTTCTTATAAAATGGGAAGTGGGGGTCTGCTAGCATTATACTATGTGTAATGACCATAGGAGGTAGCAAAGGCTCAGAGATGGGGACTGGAACAGCCACAATCCCATTGGGGTAGAGAAAGAGATTGCTATATACTATATATTTGAGAGCATTTGTCTGCTTGTGTATCTGTCTGCCTGTGTGTCTATCTGTAATGTCCCCCCACTGGGGAACGGGCACACCTCCACAGCTGTGCCCACTTCAGCTGCAGCAGCCAGGTACAGGTACTTCTCACCTGGCCTAAGTTGCTGCAATGACCATCCATCCTGTTTTTACTGGGACAGTGCTGTATTTAAAGTCTCTACTCAGCATCCCTACTTTAAAAAAAAAACAAAAAAAACCAAGGGCACACTGTGCCATATTTCCCCTGCAGCAGAGGGCCGGGAGGAACCACCAGCACTCAGAGCTTCAGCCATGGAAGCCCCAAGCACTGGTAGCGCCTCCCCCCCAACCACTCTTGGGCTGGAGCCCCAAGCACTCCCAAGCGCCGGTCGCTCCTTCCCCTCCCTACTCTGGGGACGGAACCCCAAGTACCTCCAAGCGCCAACAGCTCTTTCCACCCTCCCCAGTGGGGCTGGAGCCCAAAGCATCGGCAGTTCGTTCAACGTTAGTTCGAATTAACTTTGATAGGCGCTACACTAGTGCTCCGCTAGTTCGAACTTAATTCGAACTAGCAGAGCGCTTCGTTTGAACTAGGTAAACCTCATTCCACGAGGACTAAGCCTAGTTCGAACTTACTAGTTCGCATTAAGGGGTGTGTAGCCCCTTAATTCGAACTAGTGGGAGGCTAGCCCTCCCCAGGTTTCCCTGGTGGCCGCTCTGGCCAACACCAGGGAAACCCTATTGCCCCCCTCTTGGACCCCTTAAAGGGGCACGGGCTGGCTACGGTGCCCGTGCCAGGTGCAAGCCTGCCAGCACCCAGCTAGCAGACCCTGCACCTGGCATGGCTCGAGCCAGCCACCTGATGCCCCCCAGCCCTCCCCCTCTTCCCAGGACCAGGCTGTAGCACTGTAGTGTAGACATACCCCCAGTTAGGGAACACGTGATTTCCTAAGACCAACCACTGCTAAGACTTAAGGACAAAAGACTATTTATATACGATTTGTCCAGACATTGAGGCATCCCAGCATTGGAAACAGACTTGATGGCTCTCCTTTGCACATTTAAAACCACAAAACATTCAATTCTCCATATGTCTAATATTACACACAGACTGTACATACATCAAAATAAGTTAAGCAGATCCACAGGAATTTGCATATCTTCTTCCAAACTTACTTTCGAAAGCAGAGCTTTTGAAAGTGAAAATAGTCTAGATGCATTTTTCGGCAACCCCTCCTTTTTTGAAAAGCCGGGTAAAGCTCATTTTTTGAGGAAGAGCAGCTTTTCGAAAAAGGGGGGAATTGCCGAAAAAAATGCGTCTAGACTATTTTCACTTTCAAAAGCAGAGCTCGGAAGAAGATATGCAAATTCCCATGGAATTTGCATATCCTCTTTCGAATCTTCAATGTAGTCTACACATAGCCGAAGATTGATAGGTTGTATGATGCAATTTGTCCAAAGCATCTTTAAGTTATGTATATTTGTGCCCGTAAAACCATTTCATAAAGCGTCGGAGGTGGGGGAGGAAGGTCCATCGCAGTGAGGTGTGATTGGCTAATGGCAAACTGCTTTATAGTTTCAGTTCTTTTAGATCCCAATTTGGGTAACCATACATATGCTATAAAAAACTTTGGGCCAGATCCTCAGCTGTAGTGGTGGTGCTAGCCCTCTGGGGGCCCTAAGCAGGTATATTTTTGGGGCCTCCCCAACACATTTGAATAATTAACAGAAGGCTGTCTTGAGCTGCTTGGGGCCTTATGCAATTGCTTAGTCTCCTTATCCCTAACACTGTCTCTGTCCAGAAGATGTAATCAACATAAATTCATTTACAGGCAGTCCCCGACTTACGTGGATCCGACTTACGTCGGATCCCTAGATACGAACGGGGTGAGGCAACTCCCGCACATGCGCAGCAGCATTCCCGGGGCTCGCTCACCTGGGTCCTAGGATCCTCCTCCTCCTCGGGCCGGCTCCGACTGGGGTCCCGCAGAGCTGCCGGGCAGAGGAAAAGTGCCTCCCCACGCCCGCTGCCCCCCTGCCAGCAACAGACTCAACAGGCTGCTCCTCCCCTGAGCAACAGGCTTCCGGACAGACAAAAAAAGCCTCTCTGCC